AGACAGTCAGCTATTTCCTGCCGCAATTTCTGACAATCTTTTACGGTAAAGAAAGCATCTAACTTCCCTGACATTAATTTAGGGTTGTCTTCTATAAAATTAACGAGCATCTCAACCTAGCAACTTGTAGTTCGCTAAGTTCATTGGCCTTTCTTCGACATTTTAAACAAAACTATTTCATTGAATTATAAGACTGTTAAGGCCTTATCAGTTTCATAAAAGTTTATTTTTGCACTTTAAAAAGTAGACTTTATGATGGTAATTATAAGAAAAGTATTTCTTAAGGTGATTTTGGAATGAAATTTTTAAATGAATGTGATCAATACCTGCAAATAAATAATAATGATGAAAAAATCAAGCAACAAGTTCTAACTATCAAAGAAAGGTGTTTACAAATGTTAGAAGCTTTAAATCAAGTTCAACAAACGCTTCCATTGGCAAAGAATTTATTTCCAAGATCTAGTGCAATGAAACCCTAATATAATTTTAAACCAAGCTTTATGACCAAAGTTTTCTGAATTGCCATTATTGAATTTAGCACAAAACATTCAATATGATTGAAGAGCAATACAGAAAATTACCTTTTGTCAATTTAATGGACAAAGATCAATTTAAAGAATGTGGAATACTCAATGAGAATAAGCTTTTTTGGTAATATTACAAAATCCCATATTCAAAGAAGTTGCAACTTATGCCCTCAATTGCCTAATAACATCCATTAGCAATGCTACAGTAGAGAAGGTGTTTTCACTTTTAACTCATTTTAAGGCCAGGAACACACATGCGTAAAATTCGGCATAAAATCTAGCTTAAAACAGAAAACGTAAAAATTTTTCTGAAATTTTGGCTGAAACAGAACTGAAAATAGAGTAGAGCATGTGTCTACTTTTTGCGCTGAAAAATTTTTACACCAAAATTCCTCCAATAAAGAGACATCTTTTCTATGACGTCAGAGTAAGCACATGGTTTTCATTCTAACAATGGCAGCAATGAGGGTTAACCCAACAGTTGTATTGTGCTCGAGAAAACGAAAAATTAATGAAATAGAGGACTTCATTGAATCCATTCGTCCCCATCAGTGCCTCTATGACAAAAAAAGTGTCACTTACAAAGACACTGCGTATAAACAATGTATATGGATGGCCATAGGTGCTAAATTTCAAATAACTGGTAAGTCTAGTAGAATCGATATATAGTATTTAGATCACACGTTCTTTATTTCAATTCGGAATACAAGTCTATTAATTTAAATTTTCTAAATTATAGCAGAGGCAGCGGAGAAAAAGTGGAAAGTGCAGAGAGACCGGTATATGAGAGAGAAAAAATTAATAAGATGTAGCATTGTAAGTGGCAGTGGTAGTGGAGACATTTATAAACCAAAACGGGAATTATACCCTTTAATAAATAATATATTGGGAGGATATATTGGCTGCACAGAAACGTGAGTATTAATACATCTACTTCACCAGAATCTACTTGTAAGACACTTTACCATCATTAACTAAAATAAATGTTTATCAAAGGATATTGGTTTTATATCATTTGGTTGGTCATTTGATTATATTATAGTAGTAAAGTAGCGATTATGGTAAAATGTAATCAAACTCGTGTTTAAACAAAAATAAAGTTAATACCAACTGATTGTAATACTAATAATTCATTTAAGCTCTTTTGATATCATTTCTATGATTTGAAACTTCTCTCATATAGTTCAAACAATTATAAATGACTTTACATTTCTTATCAAATAAATAAATTCATATCATTGAATATCATTTACCATTTACAACTGAATGTTTTTATTAGGATAGATATAACTATGCCTAATCTGTAGACCTATCTATAGACCTACTATAATAAGTGAATATTAATTAGATACACATAATAACATCTATATTTAATTATTGTATATGTATATATATTGTTGCTATTATTACCTACAAGTACTAATTATTAGTTTGAAAAATATTTTGTCTTAATTTCATCATAAATTATTTATATGTGGTAATTTTTTTTATTTCTTTTAGTACCATAAATAATGAAACAAGTATCATCGAAAATGATAATTATATTGACACAGAGTCAACACAATTATCACCAGTAAATTTTTCCCAGCTAACCCAGAATGATGTAGAAATTGTCCTAAATATTGATATTAATCAAAAAATTGAGTCAGATCAGTAAGTTGTAAATACAGTAGAACCCCTCTAATCCGTCACCTTTGGGACTGGGGGTATGGTCAGAATGCAAAAAAGGTCGGGTTATCAGAAAAAAGTAAAATAAACAATCTTCCCCTTTGTCCAGTCTTTGTAGCACTGCTAATTTTTCATTTAATGAAAGAGTAACGTGTTTACGTTTCACTCCCGACATGTTGAAAACCCACACAAAACTGTACATGTACAGTACACACAATGTAAAACATACTGTAACGAACATAGAAAAACGCCATGGACAGTGAGTCACCGACGAGTTGGGACAAGTTTCTCGACTCCGACCACGGTCAGATTAACTGGAGTGATGGACTAGCCAAGGGCAGACTAGAGGGGTTCTACTGTAAATAAATAATAATGATTTTGATGAAAAAAAATAAGATTTTTAATGCATGGATTTTGTTTCAGACTTTATCAAAGCAGTGACTCAAGTACTTTTGATCGACAACAAAAAAGAAAAAAGAAACCAGATACAGATAATCAGGATTACTACAATAAAGCTTTCTTATCATTGTCATCAACGTCAAGTGCAATAAATAGTTGTTTGGATAGGAGTTGTAAGTTCAAATTTACGAATATAGGTAAAATATAGTACAAAACAATGATAGATTTATAAGTTATTTTTTTTTAATTTTAGGTTCTGTGTCACAGCCTGACAACATTGATCTGTTTTGTGAATCATTAAAATTAAGATTAAAAAAATTGAAAATTAAAAGCGACCCACCCCCTCAGAACCGACACCCGATCCTAGAGAAGATTAATATACACTCCGTCCGGGGAATTCTTTCAGTTGACCTGAAGAAGAGCAAACAGAACGCTCAAAAATGTTTGTCAAGCGATATTTAACGTATACGCATAGAGCACCGGTCACAGGTTCCGATAGTGTGACGTCAAAAAAATTGAATGCAAGGGATCAATTCAATGAAAAAAAAACATTAAATTATTAATGTTAGACCTTGAAGGTCAGGAGAAATATTTTACATAATAAAGCCTGTGAATAATAAAATAATTTTTCAAAGTTTATAAAATTGTCTTTATTATTACTAATGAAAAATTTAAGTAGTTTATACTGTATAATTACAAATATTGCATTAACTTATACAAAATGAATTGTTTAAAAAATTTTTTTATAATACACCTGGATATATCTTACTATTCTGCCATGGTACAGATCCTTCATTACAACAAGTAAATAGCTAGTTCATCACGCAAAGATTTTGCACATATGCCACGCATATTAGATCCAAAAGAACAATGTGAAGAATTAATATTTCCATCTTGGCGCCATAAACCTGATTGAAAATTAAAATTATCATCATCATAATCAGAGAAGCCTGGGGGATTGTAAATACTTGCATTTTCTGTCAATATCAAATTGTGTAAAACAAGGGCAGCGGCAACTATTTTTTCTATTGTTTTCTCACTATAATTGAGTGGTCTTTTAAAATTTCTAAAGCGCACCGACAGAATTCCAAAAGCATTTTCTACTATTCTTCGAGCTCTACTAAAACGATAGTTAAACACTTTTTGGGGATGAGTGAAAGCTGATCTCCTCATTAAAGTCTTTTTAAGAGGAAAAGCTTCATCTCCAACAAAAAATATCGGAATACTTTATTAGAATTTAATAATTTATTTTCATTTGGAAGATTTAATTTTTCTTCTAAAAGCTTTTTTGCAAAAGAACTTGTTTGAAAAATCCCACCATCACTTTCACCAATGCCACCTAGATAATCAGGCCCGAGTGCTCATGGGATAACTGTTGTCCGCCATTACAGTAGTAGTCATATGATGTTAAGTTAGGTGCTCATGCTTACAATCGTAATTAAATTGAAATATTGGGTAATTTTGTAAATAATTTTCTTACAATATTTGGGTTTGTTGTTTGTTTAATGTGCAAGACAGTTTGAAACATTTTATAAATATTAGAAATTGTGATAAGGTCGTGCAAAATGCCGTACAGGTACCTTGTAACACGTTGTAAAGGCATCTATCCGACTGGACCAAAAGTTCAAGTATTTTCATTTCCAAAGGAAACTGAATTGGCCGAAAAATGGAAATGAGCCATTCCTAGAGACAAATTAATTGTCAGCAAAACAACAAAGGTAAGTAAATTAATGTTAAACATAAACTGAATTGAAAGGGACCCAAATAACGAAAATAACCATTAATATACTAAAAATAAATACAACTTTTTACGAAGAATAATTCTTTGTTTCAGTCATTTTTTCATTGTTTACACCATCAGCAGTTCATTAAAAAACACAAATACTCACGGAGATGACCTTCCTTTTTAGGCTACTGCCTCCGTAGTTAAAATGTAAAAAATGATAAAAGCATCCTCTGGTGCTCTTGCCACAATCACATAATACATTTTAAGTAAAAAAAAATAAATTTACATGGCCAACGATTATTTAATATTAATATACTAAAAATAAATATAACTTTTTACGAAGAATAATTCTTTGTTTCAGTCATTTTTTCGTTGTTCACACCATCAGCAGTTCATTAAAAAACACAAATACTCACGGAGACGACCTTCCTTTTTAGGCTACTATCTCCGTAGTTAAAATGTAAAAAATGATAAAAGCGTCATCTGGTGTTCTTGCCACAATCACAAAATACATTTCAAGTAAAAAATAATAAGTTTTGCATGGCCAACGACTATTTTATATTAATAAAATAAAAGTACGACTCTTACAAAAAAATTTTGTTTCAGTCATTTCTTTCGTTGTTCGCACCATCAGCAGTTCATAAAATCNCATAAAAAAAAAATTTTTTTCAAATTATATGAAACTTTTTTTTTTTAAATATATATCTGATATGTACATATATACAATATTTACAAATCCAATACAATCAAATGGGTGATCTGATTTCAATTCCACAAGTATAATATACATTAAAATTCAGACAATTATTGTAGAACATGACATTATAGAAATTCTGAAAATATTTAAAAGACTTTCAAACTTCCACAATTATTGTTTGAGCTTTAAGAAATTGATTATAAATCAAAAATCTTCTGAAGTAAAATATTTTTCATTGATACATTGAAATTCTATAAAAATGTTTCCTCCTTCATCAACTTTAACTGGATACACAGAAGTCGGTTGCCTGTTTTTACTAGAAACTATCTTTCCATCCTTTAATTTCATACACCAGCGATGCCAAGGGCACTTGATGCACGGTTCTCCATCTGGAAGTTCCTCAATTTCTCCAAGATGCAATGGACCACCTTGATGCGGACAATATTCTTTAATAGCAAATATTCTTTCTCCATATCTAAATAATGCAATTTCAATTCCATTTACTTGCACTAACTGATTCTTTTTTTTCTGACATGTAATAAGATAATTTTCTGATTTCAATGACCAGTCAAAAAGATCTTTTTTGAGCCCATTAACTGGAAAACATAACATTTGCACGACTATACTTGACCTTCGTCTTTTAATTTTTCCATTATTGAAAATAACCATTGCTAATAATCATACGTTATGAAAAAACTTTGAAGAGTAATTTTTGAATATTTAATTAATAGAAATATATTATTAATAACGATGTTTGTTTTCATAACGTATATAGTGTTTTTTTTAATGTTGAAAGTAAAATGAAAACTCCACTTATTTATACTTTAACAACCCTGTTTACGATAAATTTGTTTAGAAACAGATTAATCTCTATTATTAAATATATATATAGTCTACTTCATTTTATAATCAACCAAAGTTATTTTATACGATTTGTTCCTTCAAATTTTTTGCTGATTTTTTGGCATTTTCAAGCAGGAAAACATAATATATACATTTTTAAGTAACAATCATTTTCAAGATTTTTTTAAAGTATGAATCTTGAATTTATCTCAAATACTGCTAGAGAAGTTATGAGGCACTAAGAATATGAGAAGCAAATATGAATGTTTTCTACACTTTCAACATCTATTATCTTTTATTTTTTAATAATGTAATATTAGTATAATGTAATGCTTTAGTAATTNTATAGGGGGATCGACTGTATATATATAGTTGCTATTATTACCTATAAGTACTAGTTATTAGTTTAAAAAATTATGTTGACACAGAGTCAACACAATTATCACCAGCAAATCAGCTTTTCCCAGATGACTCAGGATGATGTAGAAATTGTCCAAAATATTGATATTAATCAAGAAATTGAGTCAGATCAGTAAGTTGTAAATAAATAAATAATAATGATTTTGATGAAAAAGAATAAGATTTTTAAAGCATAGATTTTGTTTCAGACTATATCAAAGCAGTGACTCATATAAAAGTTTTGGTCAGCAACAAAAAAGAAGAAAAAAATCAGATACCTGTATTAATCAGGATTACTATAATAATGCTCTTTTATCATTATCATCATCATCAACAGCAATAAATAGTTTTTTGGATAGGAGTTGTAAGTTCAAATTTATGAATACAGTAGAGCGTCGTTTATCCGAAAGTCGGTTATCCGAAACATCAGTTATCCGAAAGCATTCCAGTCGGCAAATTTAAATTTTCGTTAGTGCTGTGGCGCTGCAATCTTTGGCTATATCTTGGGCTACTCCAATATTTTTTTTTGTTGGTGTGTGTTTTTTAGCTGGCAGCATTGGCACTTTTGTGTGGTGTTTTTCTGAAGACTGTGTGTCGTGCTGAATCGAACGTTTTTGATACTAGATCATTTTCTAAAGTACATATTTTTTGGTTTTTATATTTTTCAATATATTTATTTTGTTTGTAAGAAATAAAGAAATAATTTTTAATGATACAATAGCCACGATTATTATTTTAAAAAGTATACGTTAGGCTTAACATCGACAAAAATTCACTGCGAAGCAACACGCAACGGAGAAAAATTTCAACACGGTATAGGTTAATATATTTTTTCGTACATAATTGGTTATCCGAAAAACCTCAGTCCCCAATTGATTCGGATAAACGATGCTCTACTGTATAGGCAAAATATAGTACAAAACAATGACAGATTTAAAAGTTATTATTATTTTTTTAAAATTTTAGGTAATATGTCACAGCCTGATAAAATTGATTTATTTTGTGAATCCTTGAAATTAAGATTAAAAAAATTGGATGCAAGAGATCAATATGATGCAACAAAAAATATTGAATTATTAATGTTAGAACTTGAAGGTCAAGAAAAATATTTTATATAATGTAATTAGCCTCTAAGTAATAAAATAATTTTTCAAAGTTTATAAAATTGTTTTCATTATTACTAATGAAACATTTAAGTAGTTTATACTGTATAATTACAAATATTAATTCATACAAAATGAATTGTTTAAAAATTTTTTTTATAATACACCTGGATATATCTTGCTATTCTGCCATGATACAGATCCTTCATTACACAAGTAAATATCTCGTTCATCATGCAAAGATTTTGCATGTATGCCATGCATATTAGATCCAAAAGAACAATGTGAAGAATTAATATTTCCATCTTGGCACCATAAACCTGGTTGAAAATTAAAATTATTATCATTATAATCAGAGAAGCCTGGGGGATTGTAAATACTTGCATTTTCTGTCAATAAAAAATTGTGTAAAACAAGGGCAGCAGCAACTATTTTTTTTCTATTGTTTTCTCACTATAATTGAGTGGTCTTTTAAAAATTCTGAAGTGCACCCACCAACAGAATTCCAAAAACATTTTCTACTATTCTTCAAGCTCTACTAAGTGATAGTTAAACACTTTTTGGAGATGAATGAGCTGATCTCCTCAGATAAGGTCTCATGAAGCTTTTCCTCTTAAAAAAAATTTAATCTCCAACAAAGAAGTATGAGAATACTGTATTAGAATTTAATATATTTTCATTTGGAAGATTTAATTTTTCTTCTAAAAGCTTTTTTGCAAAAGAACTTTGAAAAATCCCACCATCACTTTCTCCACCCATGAAACAAAACTTGACTGAAATAAATTTGTATTCATAATCAGTCACAGCTAATAAAATTTTGCTAAATGATCCTTTATAATTATACTCATAATTTAAGCTTCCACTGTTTTTTTGGGCATTGAACTAGTATATGCTTGCCATCAGTGCTCCTGTAACAATATGGTACCTACCAATAATATTCAAAGCCTTTAGTAATTAGCTTTCTATTTGTTTTCATTATCTGGCATTTTTTCATATAATCATTCTTTAAATTGTTCCAAATAACCTATAATAAAAATAATAGCAATTTATAAGTTAATTGCTATTCAAATTTAATAATTTTAATTTATACCTTTGTAGTTTCTTCGATTATTTTAGCAATTGTCGATCGTTCTATTCTAAATGAGAAACTGAGGCTTCGAAATGTCTCACCCATAGCAAGAAATCTAAAAAATTATATTTTATGATAAAAGTATACTAAAGACCTAACTAATTTTACAAAGTATAAAAGATTAACAAACCGTAATGTTACAGCTAATCTGTCTCTAGCAGATATCGCTTCTCTCCATCGTGTATTTTTCTGTTTTTGACAGCAAATATTCGAATAATTCTGGTGACATTCTCAGAAATCTAAACATTTTATTTTTTCTGAATTTTCTAATGGTAGCTGTTTTTATATGTTGATTAAGTAAATGTCTCTTCAATCCAAAAAAATTCTTCTGGTAGACTACCTCACAGCCAATTCAGGTTATAAAAACTCCTTTTATTGTTTTTTTACAGATGCATTTCGAGCTAGGTTAACTTTCTAGCTCCTCTTCAGAGCTTAAGAGTCTCCATAGGTTTCAAAAGGCTTAATTTTCACACTTATACAGTACTTTTAGTCACATTTACAATATTTTTACCATCTTAAAAAATTACTTTAAGGGCATGTATTGTGTTACATCAAAAGAATGTACTGCTTACTACACTGTTTTCTGTATCCAGAGTAGTGGAAATGTGCACCAGGGCTGTCCACTGATTGAACATGATGCCTCCCTAAACCATGATTCTCTGTATAGAGCTGGTGTGATACATAGCAAAAAAAGCTGGCACATAGTGTTCCCCAGGATATTGCCATACCTGTCCACAGCTGTCATTCCTCACAGCAGAAGCAGGATTCATCTGTAAACAATACTCAATGACATTCAGTGGTCTAGTTGTGACCACACCAAACATGCAAGTCTGCATCGAATGGCATCCCTGTTGCTGGTTGTTATGCATGCAGCCCAACTTTGTGCAACCTCTTATAAATGATTTGGGTGGACATGAATGCATCCATTAATGGCAATAGGCAGTTTCAGATGTCATGTACTGTGATGAATGGGACATCAACAGGTCTAGGTCATTTGATGAATCTGCCATTCTGTGCACTCTTGTGTGCCAGTGCAATCCACTGCCTCTTTGGCATATTTGCAGACATTTCTTTGTCTATTGTTACACACATTGCTGGATGGTACTCACATCATGCCCAACATACATGGCAACTGCACAAATCGACAAACTGAGATTGTGCAGCTTTAGAATGCAGTCTTGTTCCCCAGTCATTAACTGGTGGTATTGAGCTCACTAGTTTCTGATGCATTTTCTATGCTTCTTCGAAAGTTCAACTGCAATAAACCATTGCTGATAGCATTTATGGCAAGAGCCAGGTGCTAGTCTTTATAGCCTGAAACTGTGTACCAATGACTCAATGTATATGCAAACTTAATCATTTGCATATCTTATCACCTCTGTTCCTGCAATATACATGTAGCTACATGCATTCCTTTGTGGTGTTTCAATTTCCCTTTTGAGGAGAGTAAGTATACAGGAGTCAGTATAAATCTAGAAAAACCACGCTTTGGTCACCATGGCTTTATACATTCTCAATTTTGACAGCTATATTTTAGAACACTAGTTTAGAATCTGAAAACAACTGTTCAAAACATTTGACTGTTTCTTTTTGAATAAATTCTGCTAGTTTGAAGATTTATTTCTTTTGATATTTTTTGATGTAATCAGTTTTTCATTTAAACAGAATATTTAATGTTCTAATTGAAAACTAATGTAAGAGGGAGATGAACCTGTTACAAATCCCAAAAAAAACATCAACTAAAAATGAAGCAATCACAAAAACATTACACTTATCAGCCATGTTAGCTAATGGCATGCTCAGAATATCACAATCAAGAAAGATTGAAGAAAAAATGGAATTTATGCTAATGGAAAAATAGATGAATTTCAGAAAAAACAAGAGCACTATTGATAATCATTTTATAATTCATCTATGGTGTTCATGTCTGTACACTTCCATTATATACATATATATCCAATTACTAATATACTGAAGTATGAGTTTATCAGTATTATAATATACAGAGTGATCAGAATCAACTGCACAATAATCATACCACACGATTCCTTGTCAAAAACCAATCTGAAAAAGTGCTATCCAGAGATATTTGTGTCAAAAGGTTTTTGATGTCACTTCTGGTTTAAAAGAGAGAAATCAGAAATAACTCTTATAGAAAGAAATTATTTATTACCTTATAGTATAACTGATTACATTATTTTATATTAAACTAGTAGCCTGGGACGCCCCCTAGTGGGCATTCTTTACAAATTCCCATAAAGCACGATTCCTTTGACTTTTTTGTTCCTATCAATATGCTCTACAGCTCTGTTAAAGTCCCAATTGCGTCATACGGATCTAGATTTCTACCTATTAAACATTCTATAAATACTTTAAAATTGTTTAATTTATTTATTTACCTTCGCTTATAAATCTCGATTTTAAATGTATCTGCCATTTTTTCAACAAATTTCCCATGAGTCAATGTGCGATGTTCACTGACTTATGAGTCACAGGATGTTGTAAACGTGCTGCGCAAGGTTAACCACGGCATATAATAAGGCAAGGCTAGGCATGTAATAATTATTTATACCATTCCATGGTATAAATAATAAATTCATATCAATAATAAATTCCTATTACAAATAAAAATAATTTATTGTTTTTTTAAAATCATCGCTAGGGCGCCTCTAGTGTCCGTTTTTGGCATACCGTTACGCAGACAGACATGCGTTCAATGGGTTATATAGATAGATGTTCAAAATGACCTCTTCCTAGTGAGAAACAAGTGGCTGCTCATCATATAATAATACTGTATTCACTTGCATATAAGATGAGATTTTAATTCATTTTTCACTGCTTCAAAAACCTAGGTTGTCCTATATGCGCGAGCAAAGGATTTTTTGTGTTTTTGCAATAATTTTTGTAAACTGTGTATTCACATTTTTTACCAGATGCTCACCCTCTGGTGTTTAAAAACAAAAGTATTTTATCTGGGTCATTTCAATCGATCTTGTGTATTGTTAGGAGTATAGATGAATAGCAACATGAAAAGCAAAGCTTTTGAATTGAATTCCACATTGAAATTCCAAAATCACACGGGAGCCCGATATAAGTTTTAATCCATTCCCATGTGAAAACAGATGATTATTCAGAAATCAGAATTCGGAGAAACTCATTAAGTGTAATCGACAGAGAGTTGATTCGACTGCTAAGAATTGGCAAAAGAGGTTCTGATTGTCCAGCTTTATGTGAACAAATTATGTCGATTTTACAATATTTTTCCTTAAAGTTTAAAATGCCAGTAATTTTTGCAGGAAAATGAGTGAATTTACATGCATTTAATATTTTATTTGTGATTAAACGAAATAAAATTAGAATTGTATTAATAAATATAATTTTCTTTATATTGATCTTTAAAGTCACACCTCATCCTATATACAAGATCATCTTATACACAACTAAATATAGTATTTTGTATGCTTGCAACATGGCAAGTATTATAGTTGTGATGGCCACATGCAAGCCACTAAGTCTTGTTGGGAGTCTACTGGCTATCTGTAAACAATGTTCTGTGATGCCCTCATAAGAAGGCTACAAGATTTATATTGGATGATCTAGCAGATCATGTGACTGAACCACCATGGGCAATTCATTGACCTGGATATTCCCCATCCAACCACTGACAAACAACCATCAAAGAATGTGTTGGTGCTTCCACAGACTGTGAATAACATCAAAAGTTATGTAATCTGTGAGGGCTGAACTTAGTGGAATTATTTTGTTTAAATATATTTTTTGTTGAGAGAAAAAAATTAGAGAGAGAAAACAAAAACTGACATTTTTAAAGATAATTAAATTGTTTTCCCACGGACTTGTTTCCTGGTTGAAGATGATACAACGAGTGTGTCAGCTGGAATCTGCGACAGAAAATTCAACTATTGGATGGATAAAGAAAAATTCCTAAAAAGGCCATGGGAAAAACCCAATGGCAACCCCCTAATAAAAGGGAGGGGGTCGACGAGTCGGACAGAGTCCCGGAGTTAACTTTGAATTGTGTGTGTGTTGGCCACCGCTTGCTATTCGTCGCTGCCCTAACTGTTCCTGATCGTCACCACTCCGAGAGATTCTTTGCCACTTCAAGAATCCCTAGTGTGAAAAACTTTGACTACCATTTTGTGAATTCTACAGGTATTTATTCTCGCATGAAATTAATGTGAACTCTCTCTCTCGTTATCAGTTGTTAGGGTCGTAGTAGTTACGTAATATGTCAGCTTCGGATTAGCTTTGGCTAAGCATCTAATAAATTTAATCTGTAACTAGTCTATATCGAATAATAAATAGGTATTTTTATTTATATGAAAGTTTGTGGAGTGTATTTCCTCTGGTTCTCTTCTTCCGCCTCCATCCCGGATCCTAAAGTCCACACACGTGACCGTTCGAAATAACAAGATAAACTGCCAATCCAGTTTCTGTGTCTGTCCATAAGACACAGTGGTGTCATCCTGACAAGTCATCAAAGAGGTGCCGACCCTATGGTCACAAATCTAAGAAATCTGAAGGACAATGTGCAAAACACTAGGAAGTTTCCAGCTGTCAGATGTTCTGGAAGAAGATATGGTCCCACTAGAATATCACACACAATACCACACCACATATTGATATCCCAATGGACTTGATACGTGAATGTGAATATATAGCATGGGGATTTTCTTATGCCCAAGCATGGCTGTTTTGACTGTTAAAGACACCTTCATATGTAAATGTTGCTTTGTCAGCCCACAAGATTTGGTAGATGGAAGTATTATCCAAAGTACAGTGTGTGATCAGTTAATGAACATATAGTAGATCCCCCTATAAGACAGGTTCCTATAATTACGATTCCTATAAGACAGCGAAAAAATTGTGGCGGTATCCATAAACAACGGTAAAAAAACTCCTATAATTACGTAAAACGTCATTGGGCAGCCAAACTACTTTCCGCCGTCCAGCGCCATGCTACGGACAGTTTAGGCAGGTAAATTGAGTTTAGTATCGTCTGTACATATAATTATATATAAATTAGGTACTGTATATATAATTATATATTAACTTAATTTATTGTAACTTTATTATAATTATGTATATATGCTCTCTGCCGCCTGGCAACACGCTACGGAGATTTTAGGCTAGTAAGTTGAGTTTATTATCGTCTGTTAGCTACCGTAAGTCTAATACAGTACTGTAATTTTATACATTTCGTGTGAAAGAAACATTNGAATTTTATGCTAACTATCGTCTGTACAGTATGTAAATTAGGTACCGTAAGTCTAATACAGAACTGTAATTTTATACATTTCTTATTCAACGGCGATTAAAATGATTTATATTAATGATGTCTCCAAAGTTCAACGACATTTTCGCAGAAAAATAAGTTATTAGAAATCGGCCGCTGTTTGCTGAGCTGTTCCGCAACGAAAACCAGCTTTAGCAATGGCGATGTCGAACGGTGCACACTTGGTAAGTAATCCTACAATTTTTTGTTTATAGCATAGTTTATACAGATTATTTCAAAAAAAAAAATATACGTATTTTTGGAAATGTTGAGTCGGATTAGTCTAGAATCGATTAATTTTATGGAAGAAAACCTTTCAAACAGCTGTAGTCCATAAACTTCACACATGTCGGGCTGTGATTGGCTGTGATTCCTACAAAATTGATTCATAAAGAACGGAACGTATCTACCGTCTTATAGGGGGATCGATTGTAATCCATTCAAAGACAATGTTTGCTACCCGAATTGTCTATTAACTGATTATCGATTTATCATAGATTTTTATGGAATTTGACTAATTTGTTCTGACAAACCAAAAAATTAATTTAATACATATGTTTATTTACATGTAACAACAAATTAAAAGCAATCTCTCCATTTTTTGATGGATGACACATCTTTATTTCTCAGATGTGATTTTCATTACTTTATCCACTTGAGTCTTTTTTTATTTTATCATTCTTAGCTAAGATTGTGCCCAGTGTAGACCTGTTCAAACCGTACTGCCTAGCAACATTAGACATCTGCCTACTCTCTACCTTGGCTATTATCTCTTACTAAGTTTCTATAGTGAAACAGTTCTTGACACTCCACTCTTTTTAGGTCCAATAATATTATCAATGTTTTTTAATCAAATCCATCTAATAAACAGAGCGATAATTACAAATACGTCACACTAACCTTGTATAGCTTTGCAGTTACTATTTAAAACATAACACAAACATTTTAAATAGTAACTGCAAAGCTATATAAGGTTAGTGCGATGTATTAGTGTTTTTTAAATAAAAATTCATAAAAACACAAAAATTCAGAAAACATAAATCAACTACTGCAAATAACGTTATGTATATAACTGTAAAAGTCTTGTTCCATAAACCACTCATAGATACCAGTAAAATATAGTTTTACAAATTTTAAACACATCATCATTTCTTCTTGTGTTTGTTCTGTCAGGTGTTCACTACCCGAACATGTGCTTGTTGTCTGATTTGTTCGCAATCCAAATTCTTTGTTAACTGATCACTCACTGTATATTGCTGTAACAGTACTCGCAGTATTGCTGTCTCATCAGCAATCCTGCTGATGAAGATTTTGCATCCTTGTGATATGGATGATGTCTTATGGATGATGTCTTATGAAGTGATATGGATGCATGTCTTCACCATGCAGAATGGATAGTATGATACTTTGATGCAAACTTAACTATCATGCAATTGCTGTCTACTTGTTGTTAGGTCCTCCTGTATCAATGCTAGTACAGCATCCTTGACAGCTAGTGTATACACAGAATGTACAGTACATTTTCACTGTCTACATTTGGCAGTGGTATGACCCTATCTGTTTCACACATTCAACAGTCAAGACATCAAACAACTTGGGGATCTGGGCAATATCATATTAGATATTGCTGACTGTATAGTCTTGCTGTTCCCAATACTGAGCCATGACTCTTTTCCAACAGGAAATACTGTACATGCTGCATACTCTTGCATTACAACATAACTGAAAGACTGAAAGAGCAAAAAAAAGAAGTATTTCCTAATACTGAAATAAAATAAGTTCATTCAACAAATGCAGTATGAGCTAAGCTGTTTTTGTTTCTTCCTTCAACCTTATGTACAGTATATACTACTGCAAATATGTGTGTACAACTCAGTTTGATGCATACATTTGCATTAGCATGTCCATCATTTGTTTTCTTTTTGAACATGTAATCTTGATTTATTCTGAGGTACCAGCAACCACAGGGATGCCTAAGAGATATTTTGTTTGGTATTTTTACAGATAAAATTCCAAATGACAGTAAATGATATCATAAACTTTTCAATATGAATATTTCTGGAAGGTCACATCCAATCGAAAAACAGCTACCACGTTTTTCAGGTTTTGGACAAGGTGGTATGAAAATTGTGCAGTTGCTGCTGCTTCTGATACCCTATGTATATATATATATATATATACAGTAGAGCGTCGATTTTCCGAATCAATTGGGGACTGGGGTTGTCTGGATAACTGATATTTCGGATAACTGATTTACGTACGAAAAAATAGTTTAACGTATCCAATGTCGAAATTTTTATCCGTTGCGTGTCGCTTCGCATTGAATTTTCGTCGATGTTAAGCCTAACAAAGACTATTGTATCGTTAAAAATTATTTTTTTATTTTGTACAAACAAAATAAATATATCGAAAAATATAAAAATAATAAAAAATTATACTTCAGATGTTAATTTAGTATCAAAAACGTAAAATATTTGAGTAGCCCAAGACATAGCCAAAGATTGAAGCGCCACAGTATTGGCGAAAATTTAAATTTGCCGACTGGAATTCTTTCGGATGATTGACTTTCGGAAAATCGACGCTCTACTGTATATATACACACACAAATACATACACTGATTCCCATGTTTATGAATAAGTGAGACTGAGTAATCCTCCATACTTTGAGTTCCATTTTCAATTTTAAATTTGTAATTTGTTCCAAGACTTCATGTACTACTGCTGTTTTAAAAAAATTTCTGAAAAATAAGTTGTTTTATTAAATAAATATATTGTGCAATGGTTTATAGTGTCAAGTTAAGTCATTTTCTTTACACCAAAAAAATAAATAAATAAATAAAACAGTAACAATTTATAACAGACACCATACAAGTGAGTGAAATGATCTTTTAGCATTGTGCTTTCACAAACATCCAGTTCATTCAGGCACAAACACCAATTTTTATAGTAGTACATAATCTGCTGTTTCCTGAAAGGTTGAAACCTTTTATGAAAGTTGAAATTTTGATGCATAAATTTCTGATCATGAATGATCAAATTCCTGAGTGCTAACTTCCATGAACATTGAATATGTGTATATTGTATATACTATATATACACTGTATAAGTTTTTATAATAATATATTATATTATTTTTTTGTTAAAGAACACAGAATTACATTCTCTTTATATTTAACACTTATACAAATAAATTAACTCTATATATATACACAATGATTTATAATGAATGATAAATTAATAATAATAAATCATCATCAATTCACAACAAAAGTTCTTCAAACTTTTTCTTACACAAAATTTAAATTATAAGAAAGAAATTACAAAAGAACTTATTTTACATGCACTATGACTAATTAAACTAATAAATTTATGATAAAGTTCACAAATACTTTTCTTCCCTAAATTCAAATTTATAATTTTTAAATGCAAAGCAGTTTTATTCCATTTATTCTGTTAGCTGAAGGTGACCTAAATCAAGGTCAAAAATGTTTACAATTAAATACTTTTGGTAACTTCAAGTTTAGCAATTTATCAAATACTATACACAACATTAATTTAAGACCAGTTAAGAACTTTAATTAAATATGTTCAAGACAAATGTTTTTGGTCTTCATCTCAGATCTGCTTCGGGTTCATTTTGGTTCTCCATTTTATGACAATCCAGATTCAACACACAGAGAATAAAAAATCTTAAATATATGTATAATAATGTATGATTTGTACCATTTTATGCCTGCATCTACAGCTATTGTATAATTTTGCATAAAATGTAAACCTCCCCCAGACAATTTTAATTTCCAAATACATTCTTAAATACATAATTTCTCATCATTCACTTGGCTATTCCAATATAGAAAAGAAAACTAAAATGGACCAAAAGCAGATCTTAGGTACAGATCAAAAATCTTTGTCTTGAACATGTTTAGAGTTCTCAACTGGTCTTAAGGTTATATATAGTGTTTGATTCATTTATAGATCTAGTTTCTGAAGAATTTTTGAACTTTAGCAATTTATTTGTTTTGTTATTATTATAATAACTTTATAAATTTAAATTCAAAACTTTTAATATATAAATTATAAATTACCTCAACAATAACATCAAATAAATATTTTTTTTGTTTAAAAAGCACATTTGTTGCTCCAACTACAAAACTTCTTGTATTAACATCACTTAATAAATCAAGAAATGGCAATGATAGATACGGATGACAAAGAGAACCCTAAAAAAATTAAACAAACATTAATTATTTGTAAAACATGAACAGTTAAAAAATTCATTGTACTCTACAGAAAAACATAAGTTAAAATGTTTTGAATAAATAAGTAAATTTAAATTACAGTCAACCCCCATAACACTGTTGATTTTTCCATTTTATATGAATTCCATGTTGTACGAGTCACTTAGATTTTACAAATACGTGAGCTGTTCACAGCTTGGCACATGTATTTGTAAAATCTAAGTGACTCGTACAACATGGAATTCATATAAAACGGAAAAATCAACTGTATTATGGGGGAAGTCGACTGTAATTTAAACTGCAATTTTCAAAAACAGATGTTCTTTAAAAGGAACCATTTTAAACAGAATGAAATTACTTAACTTACAGATTCACTTCCATTTTGATGTTGTAATATCTATAAACATTTTAAAATACACTCATTGACAATAATTGTTACACACCCAGATAAAATTAGCTGTATACCAAGTTTTGCAGTAATCAGACATGTCTCATATATATGTAAATGATTACAGTTTTTGCCCAATTGTACATCAGGTAATGCCACCTTGCTACTCTTGTGGAGGCTCATTGTGTTCAGAATTTTTAGTGCAATTATTTTTTGGAGGTCTTTGCCAGGCATGCCTGTATGATGTTGTGAGTACCATTATGAACAGTTGATGGAATTTTCAGAAAAACCAAATCATCAGGCTGAGAGAAACAGAATGGTGGTTTTGCCAAATTATCTGCCATCTAGGTGGTTTGTCCTGACTGTGAAGCATTGGGGCAATAGATACATCAGAGCACATACATGGTAGTCATCATATTATCTTTATAGTGATATATCCCAGTTCTGTTTTGGAATGAGCAATCATTGTGTTTGAGTGTGAAGAACCACTGATATTAAGGGTGGAAGAACTACTGGTGTTAACACATTAACATCATTCAATCCTGACTTTATTGTTGAGCAGCACACTGCCCCCCTCACTGGAATTCTAGTCTGGAAAGCCAATTCATATGACAATCAGTCACCCCTAATAGTTTTACAAGAGACATTGATGGGTCAGCAATACTTCAAGAAATTTTGTGTTTTCAAATGTTGCCTTTCACAGCAAAATTGCAAACAATAATTTTCCACAAGATAATTACTCAGGTACACAGAGGTAAAGGTTTCCAAGAATGTCTCCATCAAGTTACCACACACAAATTGTCTGTCCAGTATCACACAAAATGCTAGATAGATTTGCCATCTGTTGAGTGTGTGTGCACGTGCATATAGGACCAGTTGGGATATGGTTTCAGCCATCTACAAGTATGAGGGATATGGAGTGGCATTTGCAACATTTAAGGCCAAATCTATTATAGGATAGCAAATAGTGCCTTTATGCCTTCACACCCAACCATATCATCATATGTATTCAGGAAGTCAGGAACACATAAGAATTCTTTGATATTGTACCATTGTTCCACATAAAACTGTTCCTTCACTTATTCATATTGATGATGATATACACTTATTATCATAATGATATTGTAATCACTTTTCATCATTACATTCTTACTAATAAAGTTTCGTTCAATTCCAATGCCTCTTTCCTTGATGTGCAACTTTTTTGTCAATGAATCTTTAAAATGCATTTGTTATCTGATCACAAAATGCATTTTTAATTAATACTTAATTCCACAGATAAAATGAAATAAAAGATGCTTTATTAAAAGACTAATATTTTGATGGAAGAAAAAAACTTTTCATTATATTTTCTTTCACAAATTATTTTATAAATCAGTTGTTATATAGTACATAAAGGTTTTATCATCATCTGAGAAAAACTGAATCGAATTGTTTCAATTTGCTAATATTTTCTAATAATAAAGAATAAGATAATGTATATAAATTATTACATTTTAAAAAAATTTAAAAATAACTAGCAGATATGTCCAGCATTGCCTAGTGAAAAGTAATGAAAACAGATTAATTAAATAAAAACTATATTAAAAGTTTGGTTATTTTAGGCTATCTCAAATTAACCATTATTTTGGTAAAGCCTCCAAATCTAGATGATGTATGCCTTGAAATATTGTCACTAAGAATATAAAGGAAAACACACAAATATTCCAAAAACCAAAAGGAATAAAAATATTTACTGATATTAATGTTTTTATCCATTTCTAACTAGCTTACCCATCGCGCATTGCTGCGATCTCAGAAGAAACGAAATTCAAGCAAACTCGTTATGATAAAATTCAATTTACATTTTATTATTTTTATTGAAACTTATTATTATTATTCATTTTCATCGGGAAAACATTTCAAAGTGTCGTTTCAATTCTATTTATTTATTGGAGTGCTTGTGGATACACGATATTTTTTGTTTTTCCGTCTGGTGCGTACACGAATAAATCGGAAGGTTTTCCGACGCGTGAGCCGGCCACATACAGTTGTCCATGCGAGAAGCACGGATTCTCCAAATTTAGCCCACACACTTGCAGCGATTGTCAGAAGTGCGATATTCCCCATTTATATATATATTTTTTAATCCTTTATAATTTTAATTATTTAATTGCTCCTTCCTCTCTTCCTTGGCATGTTGTGAAATTTCTGATAGTTGGATAATAAACCGTTTTATTGTAATTTGTCTTTTTAAATTATTTTGAGTCGATATTAAAATTTGGAAAAGGGGGATACCTAGATCGGTAAAATACGCGAATTTCTTCCTACAACTTCGGTTGTTGTTCGGGGTACAGTTAAGGTTTTAACGAAGTTCGAGCGAATACATAATTAGCAAAAAAAAGTTGAAATAAAGTGATTAAACAAAAATTATTACAAATATCGTAAATAACAGTTCACAAATGCGTATGTAGAGATAATTTTTAAAAGGGGGAAATGGTCTTCACAATTTGAAATCGATCGAACACACTGTCTCGATACACTCGTATAAACGCGCGCCATCTATCGTGGGTTAAATGTACTATGCCAGAAACCTTCGCGGGAGTGTATTAAAAAACTTTCCTAAGTTTTATGGCAATCGTACTATGCCACAAACCTTCGCGGGAGTATATTAAACAACTTCCCAAAGTTTCATGGCAATCGGATAAACGGTGTGGTAATGCATGAAGGACATAAGACAGACACACAGACAGACATACATTCATTTTTATATATATATACTAGCTTACCCGTCGCGCATTGCTGCGATCTCAGAAGAAACGAAATTCAAGCAAACTCGTTATGATAAAATTCAATTTACATTTTATTATTTTTATTGAAACTTATTATTATTATTCATTTTCATGAGGAAAACATTTCAAAGTGTCGTTTCAATTCTATTTATTTATTGGAGTGTTAATGGATACACGATATTTTTTGTTTCTCACTCTGGTGTGTACACGAATAAATCAAAAGGTTTTTCGACGCGTGAGCCGGCCACATACAGTTGTCTATGCGAGAAGCACAGATTCTCCAAATTTAGCCCACACACTCGCTGCGATTGTCAGAAGTGCGATATTCCCCATTTTTATATATATTTTTTAATCCTTTATAATTTTGATTATTTAATCGCGCCTTCCTCTCTTCCTTGGCATGTTGTGAAATATCTGATAGTTGGATAATAAATCGTTTTATTGTAATTTGTCTTTTTAAATTATTTTGAGTCGATATTAAAATTTGGAAAAGGGGGGATACCTAGATCGGTAAAATATGTGAATTTCTTCCTACAACTTCGGTTGTTGTTCAGAGTACAGTTAAGGTTTTAACGAAGCTCGAGCGAATACATAATTAGCAAAAAAAAGTTGAAATAAAGTGATTAAACAAAAATTATTACAAATATCGTAAATAACAGTTCACAAATGCATATATAGAGATATTTTTTGAAGGGGGAAATGGTCTTCACAATTTGAAATCGATCGAACACACTGTGCGCGAATGCTCGTGTAAACAGATGCCATCTATTGTAGGATAAATGTAGTTTGCGGGAGTGTATTGAAAAATTAAAAAAAACTTTCCAAAGTTTTATTGCAATCGTACTATGCCACAAACCTTCATCGGAGTATATTAAACAACTTCCCAAAGTTTCACGGCAATCGGATAAACGGTGTGGTAATGCATGAAGGACATAAGACACACACACAGACATACATTCATTTTTATATATATAGATAATCATCAAGTATGTCATAACGAGTATAGAACAGAACAACATTATGCAATAAAACATTTAAATATAAAGATTTGAAGTAGTTCCTACTTCAAATCTTTATATTTATATGTGTTTGATTGCTTAATGGTGTTCTGTTCAAATGATTTGTATAGTACTGAACTAACTAAGCATCAAATACACAAGAGGAAAGAGGATATCACATATCCTGCACAGTAGCATAGCAAACATAACTGGCACCCGGGGCATGACACTTTATTGGTGCCCCCTCCCCCTCCCGAAACACATATTGGGTGCGTTTACTTTTAGCTCCGATCTCGCCCCTAGTACACTCAGTCTGTATACTTTTTGTTAGATACCAATGAGCACAGCGTTTACTTTTCGCACCTGTGATGTCATTGCTAGCATTCCTAGTGTGCTCAGAGAATTTACAACGAGCTTGGAGTTTGTTCAAAGATGGTGGCATTCATTACTGTGTATACTTTTACCAGCGTGCTAGTATGATGTCAGGCTGCGCTAGGTGTCAGCTCAGAGAGCTTGGAAGCTAGCAAAAAGTAAACGCACCCATAGTTTGTCTTGGAGACTATTTGGGCACCCCTCTGCGAGTGGCGGCCGGTGCATGACACACCCCCTTGCACCCCCCTCACTAAGCCACTGATCCTGCAACCAAATTTCCAAGTGTGCTTCACTGTTGAATCAGTACCAAAGTTGCCTCTTCTTTGATCACTTTGTGACCCGTAACAAGAAGTGAATTTACTATGACAATTGAACTATCCAAGATGTTTATGTGATGTCTGGTAACAAGCATTTACCAAATCTAAATGAGCTTTGAGCAATCAAAAATGCTGC